AGTTCCACAGGCACTGGGACACTGATGACCAGACCCGCCTCCCGGATCAGATCTGGTGGCCTAAAGGGGCTCCAGGAGAGCTGGAAAGGGACTTGGGACAATGGCCTGGAGGGACAGGACAAGGGGGAATGGCTTTCCACTGCCAGAGGGCAGGGTTAGATGGGATATTGGGAAGAATTTCTTCCCTGTGAGGGTGGTGAGGCCCTGGCACAGGTTGCCCAGAGAAGCTGTGGCTGCTCCATCCCTGGAATTGTCCAAGGCCAGGTTGGACAGGGCTTGGAGCAACCTGGGCTAGTGGAAGGTGTTCTCCCCATCCCTCCAAGCAGAGGGCTTGGAACTGGATAGTCTCAAAGGTCTTTCCAACCCAAACCATTCTGTGATTCTATGATTCTGTGAACATTTTGTTTTAACCTGATTATGGGCTTTAAATTTATTTTGATGACTCCTGGAGGTAGTTTCTAAGCCCAAATCTGTAAACTACTATCCAAAAAAATCAGCAGTACCGTACTGTTAGTGTTATCAGTATTACCTTGACTACCATGAAGGACTCAAATGGTGTCACATTGCTGCAAAAATGCCACATGTCACCATCTAGCCCTATTGCGCTGTCTGCTCCTTCCATGTAACAGGAATTATTACACTGTACCTGCATCACTGCCAGGGCAGTGGTGCCTTGTGTGTCTTTTAAGCACTTAATCACAGTTTTAAATGTTTGATTTGAGCTTTATCACTTGTATTAAATGTGTTTTGATGCATCTTGGAGAGCTTTGAGGCTGTAAGAATTGTAGACAGCCATGGGAGAGGATTTTTCCTCCTTTATAGGAGGCTGTTCAGCAGTGGTATCATTATGCTCAGGCACATCACTCTACCCAGGCCAGAGTGGATGGGTTTGAAAATGAAGCCTCTGAGGTGAGAAATACCTTTATTTTCTTGCTGTTTCCACTGGCTCTTTCTCCCATGAGCTGTGAGGCTGCTTTTGACACTGCTTTGTGTGCTGGGAGTGGCTGCTGCCCTGGGGACCCCAGGAATGAGGGGCTGGAGAGCGTGGGATGAGCGGTGCTGCATGGTCACCTGCTGCAGGGCAGCCCTGCACTCCCTGGGATTCATACTCAAATTATCCCCTCTAAAAGCCTACAATCCAGTTAGCTGTAAATTCAGGAATATAAAAATACTCCCACCAAGAAACAGCCCACTATAATGGTATTCCCAGTGCTGAATTTCTGAGTACTGAAGGACTGTTTCTTGCCCAAACTGAGGTTTCTGTGACCAAGGAGAAGGACACTCTTTTAAGGAATTATGTAAAGTAAACTATCCCCAAATCCCACATTTTGCTCAAGGAATCACTGCACACCCAAGCTGCTGTGAATGGCACCTCCTGTTAGTGGGACTCAGGTATTTTCATACCTGCTGAGTGCTCATCACTATAGCAAGTAAAAATGAACGATTAAACCTATTTTCTTTCCACTCCTGGTTGATCCTGGATCCCATTCTGCATTTAGGAATCTACAGGTGGATCTTACCCAGACTACAGTACCTGCTTGCAGGTTGTGCCTCCCCTTTTGAGTGGAGCCCAGGGATCCCAGCAGGCATCCCAGCTTCCTCCCCCAAATCCATTCCCTAAGGTGAGAGGAGATGGAGCGGAACGGCTGCAGATGCTTCTTACTTGTCTTGTGCTGCCACCGAGTGGACTTCGGGCCCACGGCAAGCCCAGGCAGAGCTTTCCCACTGCATTCCTGCTCCTGAGTTGCTCGGGATCACACCCAGTTCCTGGTGGGTGTGATAAGGGGTTGGGCAGGATGTGCCAGTGTCAGACCCCCTTACAGCCCCCAGCTGCAGGGGATCAGTGCATTTATGAGTGGTGGCTCTTTTTAGGGAAAGGGCACAAGCACTGACTCAGGAGCTGGACCTTAAAGCCGATGGAGTCAGGCCTTGTGAGTCGCTTCCCATCTCTTGGTCCTTGGTAATTCCCAGCCTGGAGTGTTATTTATTGACAGTGTTTGCTGTGGCTCATGTCACTTGTTTTCTTCTTGCCCTCAGGTGACTCCAGCCCGGAGTGAGAAGCGCAGCTCCTCGTACCTCATTTCCTCCCCGGAGCCCGGCCCTGTGGAATTCCCGGCTCCTGGATCCACAGTGCGTTACACAGAGTCCTCCCTCAAAAAAAAACGTGTGTATTGAGCCTGGAACCCTCCCTCCTGCCTGGAGGGGACAAGGCAGGCCTGGACCTCTGCTATTTATTGCTGCCTTAACTCCACACACGTCATCCTGCTCCCTGGGTGGTTGTGGTGGCCCAGGAGGAGCCCCCTCTGTCACAGCACGTCCAAGGACACGGTACGTATGTGAGGGATGGCTGGTCCTTGGTGGTCTCACTTTCCCTTGGGACAAGAGGGGACAGTGTTGGCTTTGTCACCTGCCCCACAGAGCAGCTGAGGGCCAGAGCACAGTGACTTGGGGGCTGTGGCAGCTCCACCAGCTGAAAGCAATAAATCCCTGAGGAAGGAAAGCTGATCCTTTCTCCAGTCCTCAGGCTGAGGAACTTAAAAGAGGAAGTCTTGATAGTAATTATTTTGTATTTTTTTAACTCAGAATGTGTGGGTTTTTTCCAACCTGACTTTTTCCAGGATTAAGAGTTCTGCATTTACAGCCTTGGCATTTTTAATATTTCCTCTCAGTCCTGGAATGGAGCGATACCAAATGTACTCCCAGAGCCTCGGTGATGTTCTCAATAAATGGCTGGTAAAAGGAAGATGTAATACTGTGCTGCCTTGGAATTTTCAGTGGGATTTGGGTAGGTGACAGTTGGACAGTGGAGTAACCTTTATCTGCTTTTAGGCTGAGAATCTGCAGCTTTTCCTGGGAGGCAGTGATTTCCAGTGTGTGGATGTACCCATCTAACACAGGGGGTGTGGTGAAGCCCCTCCTCCTTCCACAGGTGTGTGGGACAGCTGAGCCAGGTGTGTCCCAGCTCTTCCAGGGCCACCCACAGCCATTGTTTCCCAGATTGAGTGTATTTTCCTTTTTCCCTTCTTTTTTTTTAAGACTTCTTATATTTTTAGCTTATTCATTAAGAATTGTTCTTTTCTGCTGTCAGTCTTTATAGTTAAAGATTAGCAATCTGTAGTTTTGCAGTCGGTGTTGAGAGGTAAAGGAGGAGCCAGCCCTCATTCCAAGGAATCCTTTGCCTTGGAATCATGCAGCAAATCCATTTGGACTGAGTTCACCAAGGCCACAACCTTCCTTACTCTTCCTAGTTAATACTGAAGCCATTTTTCAATAGTGATTTTTTTTAAATAAAAAAAAAGTTTTAAACTTTGCCTTCCAGGCTTTGGGATGTGATCAGGATCCGTATTTTCAAAGCTTAAAAACAAAAAATTCCAATCACAATCCCTCCTCCCTCAGCTGCTGGGCTCTGGAACTGGCCCACCCTTTGTGCACAAACAGAGAACAGGAGCCTTTCTGGGATTCTACCTGTATGTATTGATAAATTCACTTGTAATATTTTGTTCCAACTGTTTGTATATGCAACTTTCTCAACTTGTTACACTTCTCAATGAAAATAAATTGTTGGTACATATTTAAAGTGGTTTTCTGTGGGAGAAAAACTGTCCTGGACTACTTCAGTCAGGTTAGGTAGGGAAAGGTTGTTTTTAAACATGTTCTGACCACTATTCGTATGGAAGTTTTATTTGAAAAGCTCTTTCTCTTTTTAATTTATGATTAAAAAGGTAGGCACATGGAGAAAAAAAAAAAGTTCTTTAATAATTTGTTTGTATAAAGAGTAACAAAGTGCTTACAGATTTAACTCAGCTTCCTAAGTGACATACAGAAACAACAGGTAACACTGTAAAAATAAATCTGACCTCGTTGGAGCTCATAATTACAATTTGATATGTATATATTTATATATATATAAAGACATCTTCCTATTATTGCCAGAACCGAGTATCTCCTCAAAGCATTTTCAAACTGTGGTAGGAAAACATTATAGCCCAAATTTAGGGTCAGCAGAAGGTTCCAGTTCAACCACTGTTGGATGAAGCCTGAGGGGTCACAGCCAAGAGCTGCTCAGAGGGAAATGGTCCCATGGGCTCTCCTTGGGTACCTGCACATGGGCTCGGGCTGGGAGTCAAATGGTGGTTAAGGAATATGTGTCCCAGGTGTTCCCGGGGTGCTCAGGCCTCTCTTTTCCTTTAGACAGTGACCCCCAGGTTCTGCACATGGATTTGTTTCTTTTCCATCCCCAAGCGTGTCATTAATCCCTTCCCTTCCTGTCCTTCACCCACAGCACGAGCTGAGGAGCAGCATCACACAGCTTCAGTGGGTAAGGTGTGTAATGGGGAGGGGAGACAGGAAAAGCAAATCTCTTTATCCAAAAACTTCACTGAAATGCACAGCTGTACCCACCCCTCCACTCTGTCTTGGTTGGTATTTTTGAACACAACACTTTTTTTTTTAAATACATGTAAGAGCTCAGAACTGTGACCTGGTGGGTTAAGATGAGCTGAGAATTTTAGCTTTGCATTTTTATGCCAGAGTTGTTTTTTTGTTACTAACATTTAAGTAAGTGCACATGAAGAATATTTGTCAGGCAGACTTTAAAACTGCCTCAAAACTCTGTAAAATTATTAAATGGTTGTATTGTGCCTTCTTATATGCACTGGCTCAGGTTTGAGATGTGAGAGCTGGCACTGAGAACTGCAGTGGGTTTTGTCCCCACACTCAGTTCACACCATCACATCAGTCAGGGCAGTCCCAATTGTGGCACAACCATCATCAGATAAGGATAAAACTGCCCTGCAATAAAAGCAGCAAAGGAGTTGCAGCTCTTGTTCCTCCCAGACCTTTAAATTCATTTGATCCAACTAAAATTCAAAGGAAAACTGTTGGCAAAAGAATCCTTTCCCCACACAGGCCCAGTCAGAGTACAAATTACAGTAGTTAAAAAAAATGAAGAGCCTTGGCCATACGTATTTTTGATGCACATTAAGTACTGACAGTATAAAAGAAATTAATTACATTTTACTCATAATTGTTTCAAATCCTTGGATCAAGTTGTGGAAGGTCGTGCGCTCATCGTGTTTGTATATCCAGCACTTCCTCATCAGCTGGTCCACCTGGAACAGGGACAAGGACAGGGACATTTTTAAAGGAAAGGACCATCTCTTTGGGTTTTCCAGTAAAGAAAGAGGAGCAGATTCCCACTGCTATGAACAGAAACACCTTGGGTTCATCAGGATCAGTAAAGACCCAAACCAGAGAGGTTTTTGTAAATTGAGGTCTTAACAGCTTCACCTACAGGTGTGCTACACACCCAGAAAGGCTGCATTGCAAAAATTAGAAGGATTCCAACTGAATTTTCATGGATACAGGTATTACAGCAAGTCCTTAACCCCTCTGAAGGGACATCATCAACTTGGGAATGTTAATATCAAAAACCATCTTAAAATAATGCTTCCAAACCTTGGAAATGCCTTTTTCACAGCATAGCTGAAGGTTTTCCTACCAGAGTGGCCAGGCCTAGTTAACCATGGACCTCTAGTGTTAATTCAGTGTCCAAGGACATGGCTCTGGCTCCAGGCGCATCCGTATCCGTCCCTTACCTCCTCTGGGCAGGTGGGTGGTCGTGGCAAACGCTTGTCGTCCTGCAGGACACGCACCAGCCGTGCCACCGTCATCTGGCCCTGCGTGGGGCCGATCATCTTCAGGAATTCCTGTGGGAAAAGTAAGAGTCATCTGGGCATCCCTCAGCCAGCACAAAAAAAGAACCACAAGGGTTGTTTTCCTAAGGTAAATCAGTCCGGTGGAAGGTGTCCCTACCCATGGAAGGGGGAATGATGAGCTTTAAGGTCCCTCCCAACCCAAGCCGGTCTGGGATTCTACAATTCCACCAATTTTTTTCCAAAAATATTAAAATTATGGGATTTCAGCAGCCATTCTGTCACAAGCACTTACTGCCATGGGACTGGACTCAGAGTCACAGTAGGTGAGCAGTTCATAGAGTGTCACCCCAAAGGACCAGACATCTGAGGCAATGTAGAACTTGCTCTGCAGCAAACACTCCGGGGCATACCTGGGGATCCAAGGGACAGCATTATTAAAGCCAGCTCTGGAGGCACATTCCATGTTTGTAGAGTCCTTGTACCTTAGTTAATGTGGGATGCCAAATAAATAGTAAAACCTAGCAAATAAGGTACAATTGTTACAACTCACTGTGAAACTAAAGGAAACGAAAACCAAAACAGTGGGAAAATTAAGTGCAGGAAAAAATAAATGGCACAAGAGTACAGTCTACCAGGTGCCTTTTCCATGTTCTCATGGTGTATCTTTACTTGGGCCTGTTATAAAAACAGGAAAAACCTTGAGGATGCCCAAAGCCTGAGGGTACAGGAGCAGAGCAGGCTGTGCCCTGCCCAGCGTGGCTGCAGGAGGTGGGTTGTGGGGCAGTACCAGAACACGGGGCTGTCACGGTCGTCCTTGACCGTGTAATATTCCTTGTCGGTCTCAATGGCCTTGGTGAGCCCGAAGTCCCCAATCTTCACCCTGTTCTCACTTTCCACAAGGACATTTCTCGCTGCCAGGTCACGGTGCACGTACTGACAGGAGCCCAAGTAATCCATTCCCTGAGAGAAGAAAGAAAGCCTGTCATCCTTGGTCCTCCAATATTTTAATCCCTGTTTTTCTGCACTTCGTGCTTCACATGGTCTGACCACGCTCTGCACTCACGTCTCTTCCTCCCTTTAGACTTGCACCTTGCTCCTTCCCTCTTGCCAACCCACACTCCAAGTGCTGCCCTCCCTCCTAATACTCCAAATTCTGCAGCAGGAACAACTTCTCAAAACAACTTTTAAGCAAGGGAACGTTCTAATTATTCCTCCTCTGATCTTTGTGCCAGTAGCACCCATAGCAGGGGAGAGACTGCTTTAGGATTCAGGTCCTTGGGGACAGAAGAGGAGAATGGGTTTGTTCCTGACCTCTTTTCCTCTTCACTCTGTTAAATTAGATATTAAACTGATCCAACAGCTCCGGTCCCAGCTCACCTTGCAGATCTGAACCGCGTATCTCAGCAGCTGCTTGAGATTGATTTTGTTCTTGTTCCGTGGGAGATACTCCTTTAGGCTCCCAGAGGGAAGAAATTCCATGATGAGCTTAATCCCGCTTCCTCCTAAAACCAGAGCATGTTTAGTTTGCACACAGGTGACGCTTCTCAGGCCATGAATACCAACAGCTTTTGAACGAGCTGCAGCACTGGTAGCTAAATCCCATTATCCATCACTCTACCAATCCAGGAGAACCCGTTCCTGGCAGGACATTTATAAAATGCTTTATTTTCAAAGGAAAACCCTTATGCTTTCAGTGTATGCTTTTAATATTCTACACAATTTACCATCTTCTGTGCAGATGCCCTTGTATTTGACGATGTTGTCATGATAGAGATTCCTCAGGATTTCTATTTCCTTCTTGAGGTCAGCAATGTGGTTCCCTCCACTCTCTGGCTTTAGGGATTTCACTGCCACTTGCTCCCCTGTGTTGTCGCCTTCTGGGTCGTATCTGCAGAGTTCAACCTTGCCAAAGTGGCCCTAATTGGGAGAGAAAAGAGCATTATTGGGAACACTGTTCACTGACAGCAACACTAAAGCACTATTTTAGGTGTTTATGATCCACATCTCCTATGACACAGCACGTGGCTCTGGGGACAGACACACACACACATATATCTGTGTTCTGTGTCTGACATTCCTCTTACCTCTCCCAAATCCCGGATTCTTTTCAAGAATCGTTTCTCAAAGAGAGTGGGATCGACCTCGGTAACGGGCTTCTTCTCCGACACAATATCAGGATCTAGGAGTGGAAAAACACGGTCAGAAAAAATCTGGACAGAAAAAAAAATGGACAGAAAAATCTGTCCCAGATTAGACAGATTCCTGCATGGACACCTCGGTCTCAACACCCCAAGGCATCCTTGCTCACTTCAGTCTACTGCTGTTACTGTGCCTATCCCACTGTCACAATTTTCCTGCTTTCTGACAGGGAATTCCTCCATACCTACAGGCCAGTCTATCTCTTGCTGATCTTCCCTCACTTTGTGGGTTGGTTGCTGGGTCTGCTTCCAGATCAAGTTTTCTCTGGGTGTACTTCCCACCCTGTAGTAGTTACTCAGCTTCCCTGAGTATTTACTACATCTACATCTACAGACATGGTTAGTCCCTGTTGCAGGGACCCAACACAGCTGTCAGCACAGCCAACAGGGAAGACAGAAGTCAGGTGTCCAGTTTAACCAAATAAATCAGCCTTGGGTTGGAATGAGATGATCCTTAAGATCCCTCCCAACCCAAACCATTCCAGGATTCCATGATCCCTATCCCAAAGCCTTACTTTGCTCCTCCAGTTTGTTGATGTCCCTCATGATGGCCCTGAAGAAGGGTCTCTGGTGGGGGTCATAATTCATGCACTGTTTCATCAGGTCTGCCAGCTCCTTGCACGATGGTGTGGCCAGCACAAAGTGCCCCTCATAGAACCTCTCCTTCTGTGGGCACAAAAAGACACTCCTGAGTGAATCATAGCCTCAAAACCTCAGGATTCTGAGCTGGGGGAATGCTTGGACTCAGGGATCTAAGAGTTATATTCCAACCTAAATGATTCTGTGATTCTACGTTCTGCATCAGAAGACCATTAAATCCTTAACTTGTCGTGAACTTTGCCAAGGAAATCCCCCCTTTCAGCTGGAACTCTGATCTCCTACCAGTAGAGAATTACTGTTGTGCTGCATCTGGTGTTGTTTGGAGCAACCACTTAACACAGATGAAGTTTTTACACTTTTTTAAAAGATTTCACCTTTCAGAAGTTATTTTCTGCCAGGTTTGTCATGTTCCTCATGTACCAGGACAAATGGCTGAGGGGAAACGCTTGCCAAGGACACACTGGCTGCTCCTCAGGAGGTACCAGCGCCAGGGCAGGGGGAATGAAAGGTGGTTTTGTGCATTCCCAAGCTCTGTGGAGCTATCCCACATGCAGGAAGGGGGCTGGAGCCAGGGCAGGGAGTTCCTGATCCAGCCTGGGCAGTGACTCAGGCACTCGGACATTTCCTTTGCTGCCTTGCTCTATCACGTTCCCAGCACAGCAAAACTTCCAGAGGGAGAAAGCACATTTGGAACAGATGCAATGAACACAAACTGCCAGCAGAACAGCACAAGATATTTCAATTATTTAGGATTCAGAGTGAACCACAGTGGTGTCCCACAGGAGACCATCTGGAACTGGTGTCTGAAAGAAACAGGAGCAGAACTACAGAGCTGACTGGGAGAACCTCACTCAGGTTCCAGCTGGGCACAGGGGTTAGAAAAGGCTGGGAGAGCTGGGGGTGTTCATCTGGAGAAGAGAAGGCTCCAGAGAGACCTTAGAGCCCCTTCCAGTGCCTAAAGGGGCTCCAGGAGAGCTGGAGAGGGACTTGGGACAAGGGAGAATGGCTTCCCACTGCAAGAGGGCAGGGTTAAATGGGATATCGGGAAGGAATTCTTGGCTGTGATGGTGGTGAGGCCCTGGCACAGGTTGCTCAGAGAAGCTGTGGTTGTCCCACCCCTGGAAGTGTCCAAAGCCAGGTTGGACGGGGCTTGGAGCAACCTGGGCTAGTGGAAGGTGTTCCTGCCCATGGCAGGGGGTGGAACAGGATGAGCTTTGAGGTCCCTTCCAACCCCAACCACTCAGGGGTTCTGTGAAAAGGACCAGTGTGAGCACATCAGAAGTTGTGTTCAATCATTGCTGTGCTCCAACAAGGTCAGGTTGAAGCAATAATTAGCAATTTTTGATGTAAGGACAAGAATTCCTGCTGCAACCTGTGGCAATCCAGATGGGATCAGCCCCTTATCCAGTCCAGCTGAGCTGGTTTCCTGTGAGCTAAAAACTCAAACGAGGTTTGGAAACTGAAGTGCCAAAGGGGATGGATCTGAAATGCCAAAGCAAAGTTTGTGTAACATGGTTTTACCTCTGCCAGTGTCTTGTCTTTCAGTGGAATTTCTCCATTGTAGCAGATTTCCCACAGGGTTGTACCAAAGCTCCACTTATCTGCTGCAATGCTGAGATTTTTGGAGTCTTCAACACACTCAGGTGCAATCCAGGGAATTCGCTCAACACGTTCTTGGATAAAACACAGGATCCACATTGTGGGGTGAATATCAGGAGTGGAAAACCAGCCTTCAACTGAATTAGTCTAACAGCTGCTTAACTAAAATAAACTGAAGCTGCAGTATTTGTCCAGTCTTGGGGAAATGTTGATTCTCAAATCCCTGTTCCCAGAAGGATGTTCCTATGGCTTTTACAAGGAGCCATCCAGAAACAGATTCCTTCTGTCCTATCTCATGAGATGTAACGTTTTTTTAAGAGAAACTGATACTCTAAGCACCCACTGTGTAGTTCTCAGATCCATAAAAGCTGATAACTTCTATTCTAGAGCCAGTTCTGGCTGGTATAAATGATATTTCTTCCTTTCCCCTTCCCCACCACACTAGAGATCCCATTCCCGGCCATACCTTGCCTGGACAGCACCGTTATGGGTATTCCTGGATCGCTCAGCTTTATGAAAGGACCATATTCAGTATCAATTCCCTCTCTTGCCAGAAGGATGTTTTTAGTGCACACATTCCCATGGACCAAATCCTTATCCTCCTACAGAAAAGTTGGAAAAGAACAGTGAGTGCTCCAGCATATGGAGGGAGGACAGTGAACCATGAGGGATCACTGTAATATACTCTAAACTGAAATCCAAAAAGCTTGGAAAAAACTGGAGAAAAAAAAGGAAATGAGAAGTAGGGAAACATACTGTTCACACTTAAGCACTTGTATTTTCCTGGGTGGAAAATCAGGCTGCAGCAGCCCCCGGCAATGCCTTTGCCAAGGTGCCTCTTACCAGGTAGCTCAGGGCACTTGCAAGTTGTTTGGCGACTTTGAATTTCCAAGGAGTTGTCAGGACTTCACTTTTCCGATGCATGAACAGATCCAGAGGCCCAAATTCCACAAACTCTTCAACCATGATATCTGCAAAGTCAGGGGCACCAAGTCAGTACTGCAATAACCAGTGTCTGGAGTCATTTCATGGGCCTGTCACCGTGTCCCCTCTGCTCCCAGGCCAGAGGTTATCCCATGTCTTTGTTTCACCCTCCTCAAGGGTTTATTTCAGTGCCCAGAGTCCACATTAAAAGCCTGAGTGGCATCATGTAGTAAATGAACAGTAAACCCAAACAAAGCATTTCAAAGCCCACAGGGCAGAGCCTTCCCAGGGAAAAACCTCCTTCCAAAAGGCTGGTTTGTATCGACACTGTCGCTGTCCCTCTGGCATTCCAGCCTTAGAGAATCACCCGTATTCAAAGACAGTGTTGGAAGGGGAGACTTTTTAACAGAAAGGACTTTGCAGCTGCTTTGCTGTTCCAATTCCACTCTTGAAAACTCAAGAGGCAGAGTTGCCAAGCCCATCTCCCCTGTGCCAGGGCCAAGCTCAAAGACTGCCCTGTCCTTCCCAAACTGCTCCTGGGAATGTTTCCTGGACTCACTTTCCACGTCCCGGATGCAGACGCCGTGGAGGAGCACGATGTGCTTGTGGGACACCTGCCTCATCATGCTGGCTGTCTCAAAGAAGGCCTGTGGGAAGGGGACAGAGGTCAGCACTGAACTGCTGCTCCTGGTGCCAGCATTCCAGGAGTTTAACAAATCCAGAGCATCAGGGAACAAAACCTTGTATAAAATCACTGTTTTTAGCCACATGAACAGTGGTGGGGATGTGCCATCCCACTGCCTAAAACCACGAGCTGTGCCTTCAGCATTTTCCCACCCCCAACCTCTTTTTTAAAGACTTTTCAGAGTTATCCACTGTTGGAAATGATATAACTTTCCTAATCAATTTTTTTTTAATTACTGGTTTAAATTAACTTTTTAATTAATTGTTTTAATTAACCGTAAACAGTGTATTCATCACAAGCAGTGTAATTTTCCACTTTAGGCAGCACATAGCTAAAGTTTTTTTCATAGCTATTGTTAGAGTTTGATTGGAAAATCCGTGGAATTTTAATTTTGCTAAACTAACCCAGATAAGCTCCAATGAACAAAGCCTGGGGGAGCTGAAAGCTGGACACCTGGAATGCAGAATTTATAGCCCTCCAAAGATATGTTGCAGTAACCAGAAGATAAAGAAGAGACTTAACAAAGACTAACAGAGACTAACAATTCAGCATGTGCTGGAAACTCCCTATCTGTGAAAAAGATAATAAAAAGACAGAAAATGTGGACTAATTAGCAGGAGAAGTGAGAAATCAATAAGCAATAGAAGATAGAATGCTAATTAATAAAGAGAATTATGTCATTTAGAAGCAATAAACACTCATTTCTTTGTTTGCTAAAAAGGTGCAGATAGGTGAAAAGTTCTGAAAGTCTTGTGCATGTAAGTGGAGCCATTCCCTGAGTATCCAAGCCTGGAGTAAAGTCATACTAGTTCTAATTTCTAATCCTAAAAAAAATATAGAGTTTGATTTATCCTGATGTTTTCAGTGACAACACAAGGCCCAGTATTTGCAGGACACACAAAAAGGAACAACTTGCCAAGGAAATATCTCTGTGGCTGGGGTCCAGGACTTTGAGCAGGACTTTAATCTCTTTTTCATTTTGATATCCTTCGTTCTCATCATCCTTGAGGTTGAGCATCCCCGAGTAGATCTGTGTTCTCGTCCCTCTTCCAAGGTGTTCACCCTGAGACACAGCACACCAAAAGTTTCTCAGACACGGAGCAAACAAGGGTAGTTTTAAACAAATATTTGAATCTGCACTTTACTCTGTCTCTCCAATTGATTGAGCTACATCCAGACTTAAAATTATAACAGTGAGAATCCAATGTCAGTTCAGTTATTCTGTACTTGAATGATCTCTGAGCATCCTCACCACCTAAACTCCTGGGATATTCTACCTCCAGAAACATCAAACAGGTTGCCTGTGATTTAACCTTACCAGACTAAACAAATGAATAAATAACAACTGGCCTCTTATTCACAATGAGCTGCTGTTGAGGTGATCTTTAATGTGTTTCCAAAAGTTAGAGGAAGTAATATTTCAATGGAATGCTTTGTTTGGGTAAGTAATTTCCTCCTCAGTAACAGAGGATTCCACTTGAGGGTATTTTTGCAGGAAGCCTGAATGCTGAGTGTAAATATACCCATCCAAAAACAATCACCACCATTTCTATCCTGCACACGCAGTGATGCAACTAAAAAAACCCCCAAACCTTTTTATTTAACAGAAGAAGACAATGGGATGATTGAAGAGCTCTTTTTAGAAACATTAAATCTGATTTGTGTACTCAAGCCACTGTGTGTTTGCTGAGGTTTATTCAGGTGGATCTGCATCACTGACTGTGAACAACTATCAGAAAATTTGGGGAAATTTAGAACACAAAAATCTGAATGCTCAGATTGTACACAGATTTTGAATACTTCACCTTTTTTACTGCAGGACATTGTCTTAAACCTCAAGTTGCCCGTTTCTCTGATAAGTCAGGCTTTAAAAAAACACAGCCACATTTAGCAACAAAACAGCTCTTAAAACTTTTGTGAAATGACCTTAGAAACACCTCTTTTACATTAGAAAACCGCTCAAATATCAAGTTGATTTCTAGTGAAAGGCCATTTTTTTTTCACACGAGGACATACAAACATTTGGATTCTGCAATCAGAGGATTTAATAAAGATTCCAGTGAAGTTTAGCTGAGGAGAAAAAGGAGTGGCAGAACCAGCCACGATGGGGTGACTTTGTGTCATGTGACTGGGACCAGTGGCTGCCACAATCTGGGATTCCAGGGGCAGCCCAGGCACCCACCTGCAGGATTTCTTCCTTGCGGATCCAATGGAAACTCAGCTGCCCCATGGAATAAGCAGGCTGCCATTCCTGTGCCTTCTTGGTTGCAACCAGCAGGTTGGAGATTTCTGGAGGGGAAAAAAGAAACTTTGACCTGACTTCTGCTCATCATTCAACAGAGAATTCACTAAAGCACAGTCACATATTTATAGTATAAACACAGTGTTAATATTTGCAATATTGGGGCTGAAAAACAACTGAATAGTGTTTTCTCTCAGAAAGACTGAGAGAGGCAAAATCTCTGCTGTCCATGAAGTAAAATATCCCCCACACTCCCTCCTGCCAACAGGTACATCTCCTTTCCAGTGTGTAAGGAGTAGCTGGAGTCTCCTCTCTTTACCCTCATCAAATTCCTTGTGCTCTGAGAAACGCTCACAGTCTGTTCCCAGAGCACTGGAATTAAACTGGGGGATGGGAAATGAACAGAAGGAAAAGGCTCAAAAACCCAGTGCTTCCTCCCCACTGCTTCTGGTCAGGGTAGATGCAGAAGTTTTGCACATGAATTTTGACCTCTAGGCATTATTTATTATGAGATGATGGATTTGGATGTGTGTTTGCATCCAGCCTTCCCACTGCTGGGAGCAGAGCATGGGTGCTGGGGCTAAACCATCACCTGGCACTTTGAAACCATCAGTAATAACCACACACTGCAAAAGCTGCTTTATTTCTGCATCCCCTAAACTTCTTAGTGAATAACCAATTAAATATATTCAAAAAGAAGGAAAAAAAAAACAGGGAAGAGAAAAGGAACAGCACTAAATCCTGCTGTACTTAATGTCAATGAAAAGCTGAAGTGGGCACTCAACTCCCTGACCCATTTTATTACATATTATTCCAAACACAGTCATCAAAATGTAACCAAAATGTCAAATGTCAAAAAGTACAATTTCCCCCTGCTCCAGATAATTCTCCATGTTCTTCATGTGCTCAGTGTCTCTGCAAACCCCTCAGAACATCAGGTATTACCGTGGCTCAGTTATTCCCCTGGTTCTAACAGGAAACCATTATCTGATCAACACAATCACACCACTGTGTTTCCTCTTTCACACAAAATTCAGCTGCAAGACACTGGTAGTTCAGAGCAAACAGCTTCAGTAAGTGTTGGCATCAAGAGTTCAACAAGTGCACGATTGTCCCAGCCCCTAAAATGTGGCCTCACAGATGATTTCCTGCCACAAGGCTGTTCTTGCCATCACTTGCAGACCAAAAGCTGCTTCATGAAGATGAATTGAGTGAACAGCAGCTCATAATGAGAGCAAACAGCTCCAAACCAAGGGTTACAACCCTCCTTTGCCACAGCACAAACTGAACACACTAAGAATCCCTCCTGTTCCTGGAGGTTATTTTCTTGCAACAAAAAAATTGTTGAAGGTCAGGTTACCTCTTGGTCTGGGTTGGCAGCACCTCTTCAGTGTAAAGCTGATGTTGTCTGTCCGAAGGATTTGTCCTTTCAGGTGATCCATCAGCTCTTTTAAGGATGCAAAAGACTTGTTTGAGCCGTGGAGGAAGTACCCGCCTTTCTTCACCTCAATCTGGAAGTTCTTGTACTGCCCTGAGTTATTTATCACCTGGGATTAGTGAGAAAAAGGGAAAAAAAGAAAGCAAATATGTTTGTAAAGGCATAAAAGCTTCCCAAAACCTTTGCAATCACAAGTAGGAGCAGTTAATCACTTGCTCCTAAGGCAGGGTCCTCTAATCAAAGTGCAACAAAGCAGGACAAGACCTAAAATTCCTGTAATCTTCCAGTTCCAGGAAGGCTCATAACAACAGAGCAGAGCAGCAACATATAGATGCAAGCCCCTCACAAACCCAAATTATAGCTTTGGTGTTTTAGAGCCCAAGAATATGCAGAAGTTCTGCCTCTTTTGGAGGAACTTTCTCTTCACTTGGTCAAGAATTGCAGAACCTGGACCACAGTTTCAAAATCTCAACTTAAAAATAGCAGAAGTCCCTTTCACAACCCACATTGTTCAACCACTGAAACAAGATTTCAGGCTGTTTTTGAGACCTTCCAGTTTCATTCAAAGGTGGTGAGGAAGAAAAACTTAACTTTTGGACTAGCCCATCTCAAGACTTTTCAAGGCCTCCCCCCTACACCTGCTCCCTCACCTCTCCCCTCCCAAAGCTTCACAATGAGCCTGAATGTTTTCCAAGACAAAATTCCTTTCCTGTCTCACTGCCTCACTGCCCTGTCTGTTGGAAGACAGTGCTGATCAGCTGGTTTTTTTGCAAATATCATCAGAAGATGAACCCACTATCAAATATCCCTTCTTGGCCTCAATTAACATTTTTCCCTAAGAGCTTATGTGCATTTTTACAATTATTATTCTTGTGTGAACACTAAATATTCTCCCAAAATACTGAGTCAGGCTCCCAGCTGAGGCCAGTGTGGGAACAGAAATAAATCCATATAATTAAGTCCATGTTCAAGAAGGTTCTCAAGGGAATTGGAACCATTCAAGGTAAGTTGCAGTGACAAATTCTCTATGTCATTCTCACACTATATGAGTTTTAAATGCTTAATTTCCATCATGTTTTACTGCTAAAAGTGGAGACGTTCTGGAGTCTTCAGCTCATTATCAGATTCCTGCTGGGGATGCCACATCTGACCTACCTCTGAGCCTTCCAAACAAGTCACTGTCATGAGGATGTGGTTGAAGTTCGTGCAGCTCCATCTCAACACGTACGTTCCCACCTCATTCCCTTCCTGGCGCAGTTTGTTGATGGCATATTCCGTGCTGGAAGGGAATGTTCCATGAGGAAAACCAACAAATGAGCATCCAAAATATATTATTATTATTGTTATTATTACAGAATCAAACCAGTTGGAAAAGACCTCTGAGCTGCACAGAGCAAGGGAGGAAAGATTTATCAAGGGGAAATTCTGCAACCAACATATGGTGCATATGGTTTTCTACATCCTGCATCTTAAACATAAAAGGAAAAGCCAAAAGGTGGGTAGAAGGGAAGACAATTCTTTTAGGTATTTAAAAAACCCAAGGCTTTGTTCATCCTTCCAAGGACTGCCAGGGTCAGTGTAGACACACTTCAGCTGTACCTAAAATATTCCCATCTATTCATAGCCACTGGTGAAATAAGTCACAAAATATGCCCTTGGTGAGGAAAATTTGGTTTTATAGACAAATAAATTTCTGTGGAGAGAAAGAGTGAATTTTTTCCATATAATCCTTAACAAAACCAAGTTGCTCTACAACCTTCTGGTAATGACCAACCATCCAAATACCAGATTTCCTCCATGGATTCCCTATGCAGCAGCATCAGAGGACTAATTATCCAAGTGGAAAAATAAAAGTGGCACATTTTACTGACCAGATGGGCCCATGGCAGCCGTTTTTGATGTTGTGCTCAATGAGTGGAGGAGCCACATCTGTGCACAGGTAGTGGTGGGCGTCTGCTGTGAGCCTGAAGTAGCCGTCGATGAGGGACGTGAAGGACAGGGCCTCGTCGTGGGAGGACAGCTTCAGTTCCTACAACACAGACATATCCTTGGAAAGAATCCTTACAGCTCTCTTAAAGCATTGCAGGAATGTTTAACAGCCAGATTTTTGGCTAAAAATTGTTCTATTCAAGGAGCCAACACTGATCATTCTCTATCCTCCCCACTTGTTACAGGCTGGAAACTTCCATTCTCCAGCATCCCAAGTTCTCCTCTAATCCACAAGATCTGGAAGGGAAACTCTTATGCCAAGTGTAGAGAAACAACTGCACTCACCAACTTCTCATGGGCACTTTTGCATCTGTCCAGTGTTAAGGGCAACATATTTCAGTGTCATTTACATTAAAAATGTTCCTCAAGGATGTGTTCACCTGCTGCCCAACCACCCCTATGGCTCCCCATGGAAGGGAAACCCATCCCTGGTTTGGTTCTTACCATCCTTTTGTTGTCCTGTTTGTTGATGCTGACTGTAGACTCCTTAATGACAATGTGGGTGATTTCAGGAAAATAGGAAAAATTGTTCCATGACTCCCGAAGTTTGTGTTTTTCTTCATCCTTTTTGGTTTTGCCATCAGATTTTTTCTTCTTCTCTTTCTCTGTCTGTACAGACTGCAAATACATTTTGGATAAAAGTATAATAAGAAAAGTGGGTTTTTTTGTTGCTTTTTGTTTTTACTCTAAAACAAAACTTCATTACAAATTCATTACATAATTATATAATAATTTATAATATATGGAATATAATATAGAATATAATCCATTCAAATATGTCTAATAAAGCTATTTAATTTTTTAATGCTTTTTGAGCTGTGTCTGGTCTGGTAGATAAAGTAGAGTCTTTAATTTTCCTGGTAAACAGGTTGCCCACCAAGGTTGTTCAGGGTCCATCCTTGGAATTTTTCAACACCTGGATGGATAAAGCCCTGAGCAAAGGTCTGATCTCAAAGCTAACCCTCAACAGGGGGTTAGACTGGACACTTCCTGAGGTTCTCCCAACCTGTATAATCCTGTAATCCTATAGAAGCCCTTTCAATAAAAAGTCGATCTGCAGTTTCTGAAGATAATTTTTAACAGTTGTTATGCCCCCAAAAGAATCCTCTAATTCCCAGTTATCACGGGTTACTTACACTTGGCTTGAGCCTCCACTGAATTCCATTGTTTCCTGTTACCATGACTTCATACTTCTCATTGTCTCCACAATTAAATCTATTTATTTCATTCTCAGAAGAAATCAGCAAAAATGAAGTCTCAAAAATCTCTGCTCCGTAATGTTTAGTCAAGGTCTCCATTGTGGATAAATATTTCACTTTCAGGTCCCGTGGGGACACGCTGCTGTCACAAATGGTTTTGTTGTTAAACTCTTTAAGGAAATGCTTGAAAACATTATTTATCCGAATCCTGGTTAAGAAATTCCTCTGTCTGATGGTCTTGTTCAGACTTTCAGGAATATACTGCTTGTAACTAGAAGGAAAAATAATACTAGGAGTTAAAACCCCTCCTGGAAGAGAAAAACAGCAGCACCAACAGTGACAAAGAATTTATCCAAGCTCACCTGATATCCTTGGGAAGCTCTGGAAGCTTCACTTTTTTGTTGATGGCATAGTGGGAGATTGCTAGGACAGCCATGCCCAGACATTCATTCTCAATTTCATGAACCTCTTGTTCATTTCTGGGGTCCCGGATCGGTGCCAGGCCTTTCACTAAGTCATACTGACCCTGAATAGGAACAAAAAGAGCAAGTTTCCAGCTTTGCTATTTGCCACTTTGTCCATGAGCCAGCAAAAGGTCAGAGATCTCCCTGAGCAACAAGAGCCTCCCAAGACTCAAACCCATCCCCTTCGCTTATACATCAGCCCACCAAAAATCCCCTTTTTTTTCAATTAACCAAAGAAATCACCACCTCTGTCCTCTTCCAGCACCTTCATCATTTGCTTTCTTGTCTCCAATAACTACTTTGTGTCTCTGCTTTATCACTGCCCTTCCCTATCCAAGGTCTCCATGGACCTCATGGGCTCATCTCTAAGCCACACAAAAGCCAAGCCTGCAAAGTCTGTGCTCTGCTTTGCTCTGGGACAGCCTGAAATGTATTCGGTTACCAAAGAGCAAAGACATTTCTGTTGCCTTATTGCATTAGTGTTCCTCTGGTATTTTCTTTCACTGTGGTTTCACAACTACATAACAAGGATTCATTGGAGCAGCTTCATGTTGTCCCTTTTTTTGAAGGATAAGATCAGGTTTCAGAGTCTGAAAATTCTGCAGTAACTACACTCAGAATTAACAGTACATGAGTTTTTCTCAGTGCATTCAATTTACTTATTTCACAAGCCTCCATCAACTTGAATCTTCCCATTTTTTTGTGAAACCAGTTTTTGGTTTGCAAAACCACTTGGGACAAGAGAAGAAAAGTAAAACTGCACATAATCAGGCAGTGGGACAGTGGGATTATCAGTCAATTTTTATCTATGTTTTAACACCCCACAAGAAAAAAGACTCATTAAAAGGGCACAGTACTGCCAGATGTATTTTAGCTTTATGATTTAATGCTGCTGCTGTTCCTCTATAGGACTATAAGTATTAAAGTTACATGTAAATGTTTCACAAAAGGTAACTGAATTTATATCCAAAATTACTTACTATTAAAAGAAAGTACCTATAAAAATATAGACATTTTTTTCATACATTCTGCCTATCAATGGATTGTTCTTCATGCAGCAAATTCTCTTCTCCCCACCACACAGAAGCACAGAAAACTCTTATCAACACTAACAGGGACATTATATGTATTTTAGAAGTTTGAAAATAGGTCTTTCAAGCAGTCCCACAGTTTTTGTACAATGTCAGAGATACCTGCAAGTGACCCCTTACCTGTGCAAAGATGTATTCCAGGGAGAATCCATCAAGAATTGGGGTTCCTTCTGGTGCCAGCTTCTTCTCGTAGGCCTTTGCCTTCCTTGGGCAATGTCTCCACACCGAGGGCTCGCTCTCACTGGTCCCGTGCCAGTTGGTGAAGTAGTATCTGGCAAGAAAAGAGAAATAAACTTTGCAAACTCCTGGGGAAGCCCTTCTTTTACACTAGATACAGATTTTGAACTTTGAAAAGAAAATCAGTTAAAAGGCAAAATCTGTCAATCTTCTGTTTAAATGTTACCTTAAGTGCTTCAGAGCCTGGCCTAAGGAACTGGGGAGAGATGATCATATAAATATATATATATATATAATTATTATTAGAGGGATGGAGCACCTCTCCTATGAGAAAAGGCTGAAAAAATTAGGATTGTCCAGTCTGGAAAAATGAAGGCTTTGAGGTGACCTAATTGTGGCCTCCCAGTGACTAAAGGGGTTCCAAGAGAGCTGGAGAGGGACTTTGGACAAGGGCCTGGAGGGACAGGATAAGGAAGGACAACCCTTCCCACTTCAAGAGGACAGGGTTAGATGGGATATTGGGAAGGAATTCTTGGCTGTGAGGGTGGTGAGGCCCTGGCACAGGCTGCCCAGAGAAGCTGTGGCTGCCCCATCCCTGGGAGTGACCAAAGCCAGGTGGGAGCAACTTGGTTTAGTGGAAGGTGTCCCTGCCCATGGCAGGGGATGGGACTGGATGGGCTTTGAAGTCCCTCCCAACCCAAACCACTCCACGATTGAGACAGACAGCAAGACAGGCAGATAGATAGACAAATAGATATAAAATGCTTTAATACAAAGGGAGGCCTGAAATAAATGTTTACAAATAGGAGAAGTCACATACAAACATGTTTTAAAATATGTGACTGTATTTTAGTGACTTGTGTCTGACCAGAATTGGAGTTCATGGATAAAGCTCCAGTTCTGGAGTGGTCAAGGCTGGTGTGTATCAGCCTCAGTGCAGAGTCAGGATCTTAAAAGCAGAAACATGATTAGTACTTTTAGTTAAGCACTTGTTAGGGAGAAATACCAACACACAGTTGTGCCAAAAAACTCCTGACAAGGACTTTAAAAGCCTTCAGAACTCCTTTGATTGAAGCCTGAAAAGCAAAGCAAAGCAAATCCTTCTGCCTCCAGGAAATAACTTTGTTTCCGTATCTCCTGTGTAAGATGAGTGATAATTAATAACTACAATGCTTTTGTTATTTCCTGAAAATAATTATGGGCATGGTACTGTGTATTGTTTGTAATTGAGAGGAGGATTTGATCCTTTTCCTATTAAACTGCACTGATTGAGACAACTCTTACAAGTTACAAAAACAATTAGAGCCCCATTGTTTGAGGAACTGTATAAAGGAGAATCTCTTCCTTGAGGAGACCAATGGATTTGCGGGGGGGAGGGGGGGACAGACTATTGCTATTCCACTTCCAGAAACAGGAACAGGAGCACAAGTTTTCCAATTCCCAAGTCCTGGAAACGAGCTGGAAAGGAGACTGTGTGCTCCTGAATTTCAGGAGCAGGGCTCAGCCCTCCTTTAGAGCATTTTAGTCCAGGGCACGGGTGAAAGCCTGGAAGAGGGATTTTGGGACTCAGTCCAGGAGGGTCACCCCTGGGAAGGTGCAGCTTTGCACCTGGCCAAGAAGGGGTGGAAATGCTGGAAGAGGGACCTGCTGTTCTCTCTCACCTACAGCAGCTCTGATAGTCCTTCTTCCAAGAGTTTCCAGAAACATGGAGTGGTTTGGGGTGGAAGGGACCTTAAAAGCTCATCTCATTCCAACTCCTCTGCCACCTTCCACTAGAAAGGAATTAGATCCCTTCTCCACACCAAGAAACACCATCCAGCTATGGAACAGTTAAACTCCTCCTCCATCAGCTCTGTGCTGATTAAAGCAGGATATTACAAAATACTGTAGTTTCTCATGCTGTAGCTTTTTTTTTTCTTTTTAATTCGAAGTAAGTGTAAAAAATACAGGCAAGTTACAAAGTATAAAGCAAGTCCTTTTAAAATATTATCAGAAGTGTAGCAGTGTAGCAGCAGCTGACACTGATTTGAGGAGGATGGGAAGTTCACACCATCAGAAAACAATAAGCTTTCAGCAGCATGGGAAAATCAAAGATCTAAAAGCATTTCAAAGGAGTCACAAACATTCATTTTAGAGATATAATTTCAATAGGACAAGACTAGAGCAAATTTATCAATGTACTGAAATTACAGAAATGAGGCTGCCAATTTAGTTTCTAAATTATTCTATACATTTAATACACTGCACTGTTAAATAAACCCACATCATTTTTCTTTTTCAGAGGAATTCTGCCTCTGGCAGAGCTCAGAACAAACAAGATTCATTTAGAGAACAGTTTCACAACCCTATTGCTCACAATCTTGCAGCACTGCCCTGCTCTCAGTTCAGATGCCCAAGCCAAGACACACAATAAATGAGAAAAGAAAGAAAGGAAAACACCACTTCACCACTACACTACAGTGTTTATTCCTGAGGAGATAAGAATCTTTACATTTTGGTGCTTAACTCTTTCTTAAATGCATATGAAATGATGTAAAATACATATTTTTGGCCCAAATTTTGCCAGTTTTCACACATGGAGTACAAGGGACAAAAGAGATTTCCCTGCCAAACTTTAAATCCCAACTGCAAAGCTTAAAAAAATAAACCACCAGAACTTTAAATTATAAAAACCAAAGTATTTTCCACAGCTTCATCCTACAAAATGGTACAACAGAAAATTTTCCAGAAAATTATAAAATGGTACAGCAAAAAACTGTCAAAAAAAATAAAGCTCAGCATAGACTAATTTTGTCCATGTACCCATAATTATTTTCAGGGAATAACAAAAGAACTGGTGTTATTAATTATCACTCATCTTTGGGTTATGAACAGCCAAAGAAGATTTACAAGAGGGAGCTGTTTAAGCAGTTTTAAGAAAGGTGGTATTACCTGCTCTCATCACTCACCCACAGCTGGAACCTATCAATACCAAACACCACCAAACACAGCAAAACCCGGTTTTTAAACCAGAATTACAAAGTGCATCACACTTCTCATGAGTGGATTAAATCCCCACAACTACACTTTTAAAACAACACCTTTTTTACTGAGAAAAACAAGGAGTTTCAGGGGAAAACACTCCAGGTTCACATTATACCAGAAATGTTGTATTATTCAGTCTATTGCTAAAGTGAGCGATCTCAAAGCAAGAAAGGGCTCTCAATGCTCTCTAAGAGGCCATTAGAGTCCTCAGAACCTCATTTAGAGTCACTCAATTCCATTATTGTGTGGTGTTTATCTGCCCAACTTAATCAGAGCTGTTTAAATCTGAGATTAGCCAAGGTTAAGTCATTAATAGCACTAATAGACTGTGCTAGAGAAAAAAGAAAAGACTACTGCGTCCTCTTCCTCTACCAGAAATAAGGACTGGGATTATGATTATTTGAAAAGCAAAGACCTTTGATGACTGTCAGTAATTTTTCCTTGGAGCAGTTCATCCAACAATAACAATTCCAGTCTGGCAGAGATCAAATGGAAACACCTACAGTCCAAGGATCAGCAAAGCCTTCAGTCTGTATCTCCCTGTATCCCAAACTGACCCTGGCTGTGAGGATTACATTTTAAGGCACAGAGGGAATGCTATTGAAAAGTTTATTCTCTTACAGTTGTGTCTTGAAAAATTATCTGTTGACTTGCTTTAGGAAAATGGGTAAAGTTTCTAAATTAATTATTCCTGTAAGCAAAGTTTATTTTATATATTTTTCTCCTACGTTATACACTCAAAGCTCATATTGATGCAAGAGGAAAAGTCAGAATAAAAACAATATTTTATTATTTTTAAATGTAAAAAAAGGAAGCATAATGTGCTAGTAAATAAATAATAATAAAATTAATAATAATATAAATAACATAATATAAAAATAATAGATTGTGATTATATAATATATAAACACATGTATATCACTATATATAAGATATAAAATAGATTATATACAAATATTAGTGAGTAATAGTAAATATAAATAGTAAATCAATATAGCAAAATAAGTAAACATTAGTAAAATTCCCATCTCCTTCACCAGGAATACTGTTCACTTGGAGCACTTCAAATGGAAACCAAAACATGAAAACACTGACATAAAAACCCTGATGTTTCTCAGCCCATTTTTCAATTTAGCTTTTAGCTTGTTCACTCCCAGCTTTGTGAATACGAGTTCTTGTCGTTTTTCAACTCCTGGGCCTTTTTTCAAGGTTAGACAGCAAAGATGAAAAGAAATCAGGAGATATTTTAACCTTCTGCTGTTCACCTCTTATCTAAGCTGTGCAAAACAAGCGGCTGCTTTTGGTTTTGCTTTCCTGCTCCTTCAGGGACCTCAGGAATAAGAGTTTGGAGCATTTAAATGTGGTTGAGGATCATTTTTCAGGTGGTTTTCTCTTACCTCATGCGATAGTGGAGCCTGTAGGATGTTTTCTCATCGATTTTAAAGACCTGGTTTGGGGCATACCAGAGCCTTTTGTTCTCATCATACAGTGCAAAGAGGTTGTGGCACAGAGGAGACACAGCTGGCACAGAAAAATACACAAACGGGTGAATCACAAGGCCACAGTGCACACGCACCCCCAAAATCCAAATGCAGAAAGCAAATATTTCAGGTTGAAAAGAAACTGAGACTGGTATATTAGAATATTCTAATATATTAGAAAGTTAAGGTTGAAGCAGAACCTGCACACTGGTTCAATCCTTCCGTTTTATTGTGTATTAAATAGCTACTTCCAATATGAAACTGATTCTGAAATTCTGATTTTGCCCTGAATTTGAGAGGAATTACTTTTCCCACTTCACAGAAATCGGTATTTTAACAAAACCACTCAGCAATAGCCCCACTTTGTTTTATGAATGAATTTTGCCCCCATAGTTCAGAGAGGTTTTAGCAAACAAGCAGAATGTGCCATTGTCACATTCTTTGCTCACTTAACAGAGGGATTTCCACAAAGAACAGACTTTGACTTGTATGTCCAGGCTGACCTGCTTTAACCTTTGCATTTACATCATCCCAGAGAAAAACAGGCTGTGGAGTGTTTACAGGTCTGTTGTTTGAATTCCTTGCTCCTGTTTCCTGCAGCATCCACTGAAACTATTTCCATTGTGAACTGGGGAGAAGAGAAGCCAAGGAAATAAAATCTGAGCCTAATTTCAAAGTTCACAGAAGGTGGGATTGGGCAGCCACTGACTTGTGCAGGTAACAAGCAGGATACAGGTGCCATCATAACATTCCAGTTGGGATTTCAGCAGGGACCAGCATCACAGCCCTGCTCAAATGGGCAAGAATTTGTACTTCACTGCTGTGTGCAGTGGCATTAGTGAAAAACAAGAGAAGGTAGAAAGAATTCCTTTAAGAAAAGCTCATTTTAAGTAACTTCTATAAAGTTTTTAAACTTCTGGCAGAAATTACTGGGAGCAGCTGCACAGTACATGGGCTCCTCCATGCTGACAGAAATAGGTGGGTGGTTAAATACCCTTAACTTCAATTAAAACTATTAAAAACCCCACATCAGTACTTATTTGATGAGGTTTGTCCTGCAGATTCCACTCATTTTCACCTTTCCAATGGAAGAGCAGCAATTAGGCAAATGAACTGAAGGGTATTCAATGTTCCAAGAATCCAGGTGACTTGGGAAAAGAAATCATTTTAAAGCTGCAGGAAAACTCCTGCCCAGTTCACCTGTTTACACAGCCAGATTCACCACTCCCATGTTAGCTGAATAACATTTAGTGTTCCATGGAGACACAAAATTGGCTTCAGGGCAGGAATTAACCTCAGAATTGTAAATATAAAAGTACAGTGGGTTGTGAGATAAACATAGATTTAATCCACTATTTCCTGGAGAATTACATATATTTTTGAGTATTTTGCTGAGTCACAGACCAGAGTGACACAACACAGGAGAGATCCTGTTTAAGAACTGACCAAACAGCCCCTCAGCAAAAGTTTTCATCCTAGACCACAAAAAATGCACGTTGCTTGTACAAACACTGACTCAAATGCAGAGGATGCATCACTTTCGATACTGGGAATAAAATCATGTCAAATCAAGTCAAATGGAATCCAGGTACTCACAACACCTCTGGGCAGCTTCAATGCACAGCTCCTCCGAGGTGAACTCCCCGCTGGTGTAACAAATGGGGTCTTTATCTTGCAGGTAGAAGAGGATTTCTAAGCCCTGATGCTGAACTTCCAGGTTTACTTCACTCTTCTTTGTGCTCCTCATCTTTGCACAGAAAGCCATGGCTTTGCAATCTTCTTTTACGTTTAGATACTGAAAGCAGAGGAAAAATAGTTAAGGAAAGGGTGAAGGAGAGTTTGAATGTTTATCAGAACACAAATCCATCACTTAGTGAGGCCACTTCTTACTCTGATGGGCCAGGCACCACATTTCTCAAAATCTTCACATTGGGAACCTGATTATTCCAAACCAACGAGATGAAAAGTGAAAAATCAAATGTCACTGATTATTCTGTTTCTGGGAACTCTGCTCCAAATAATTCCCTTCTCTTCTGGTGGTTCCACAACTGTTTTAGAAGGTTTCTTTCTTACCGTAAAGCACAAATAACTTTCACATCCTTAGGCACCTAATTGGCTAAAAAACAGCACTTGAGACTGGATAATATAAACAGTTCAATTTATGTTTCCTTTTTTAAAAAGTCAGCTTCTATTTTTACAGTCCCCTTAACAGCTAAATATTTCTCATTGTTTTGTCCCCTCTCACCCTTTGTGTTTTAAACTCCTGATACTTAATGAGTCATGGTGAAATAAGCTTTATTGCAGAGTTATTTTTTATTACTACTTCTCTCTCTCTCCAGAATGAAAAAGTATCACTAAGTAGACTTAAAGCAAAAGCTTTTAGACTGCCAAGAATGCATAAGAAGACATCTCTGACACAAAAGAAAATGCATTTTGCATTTTCTATCTAGTGCTTAAATAGAAAGAGCCAAAAGGAAACAGATGATTTGGGGTCTGTGTTCCATGTTTTACTAAGTATTAGCTCAATTAACAACAAAAGCCCAAACCACCAATTCTACAGTTTATGAAATTAATCCTCCCACTGAAAAACAAACAAAACCCAAACATCAAAACCAACACACCTGCATTTATGTGACTGTGGGATCCTCCACACAACTGAAATGGACTGTCTGCACCTCTCCAGGAGCAACTTGACTCTGACTGAAAAAAAAAGGGAACAATTAAAATTGTCAGGAATGGCTTTGTACAGTTTGAGGCACAAATTAAATGATCAGGTTGATAAAATGCCCTATGCAATCCAAGGGATCTTTACATTATTATGATTGAGATGTGGATCTAGTCTCAACCAAAGGCAGTCACAACAAGAATACACTGATTTCTTTTCACTCTTTGCGGGCACTGGCTGAGTTACAAACAAAAACCACATGGAAAGCCTTGGTTATCCATTGGCTTTTTTCCATATTTTCAGTTTGAGGTCACACTCACTGCAACCATCAGCTGGGACACCACAGGAACATTCTCCTCTCTGCTTTACCTCCTTCATGGCTTCCGAAGTCACTCCATTCTTCACATTTTCACCTACATATTGCTAATGTAGGTCTTTCCTAGTGTCTATTGTTTCTTCCCCTTCCAGATTATCACTTAAATAATGTGTTTAAAATAAGCCTGACAGTACTGCTGATTTGGTATCACTCATGTGAGGCTGAAAGATTCCTCCACTTCTAGTCTCCATCCTCCCTTTTTTCCTTCTCCCCTATCTCTGCCAAAATGTACTTAAAACTAAATGTGTTTTTGGTTTTGCTTCAACAGTGTAAAGCCTTTAATCTGATAGAACAGACTTCAACAAATATTGCTTCAAAAGCCTTAGGCTCAGTCTGGAGAAACTCTGACACTGCCACAAAAGCTTTCCCTGTGTTTGGGAAGTGCCCAAAAAACGTGATATTATCATAGAAAAAAATAACATTTAACAGCACAGCACACATTCACAATTAAACTGCATGTTCCTTCCATCCTTGCCACTTGAATGCTAAATTTGAGTTTCCAGACACATCCCCTTGGCAATAATATGGGGAATAAATAATTGAGAGTATGATTACTGGAACATACAGACAAGTCAGTAATTATTTCTGCACACCACCATGAAATTTAAATGCAAAAGGTTAAAGATATTAACTTTAATCTAATTGAAAACACCCCCTTTTAAATGACATATAAGTGAAGCTCAATATATTTTGATGTCTGTGTGGGCATAATATTAAAAAGATTGTCCAGATGTTTTAAAATGTGAGGGGAATATAAAACCAGTGCCTTCTTGCAAATTCATAAATCAAACATGCTGCTTTTCAACAGAGCCATCTTTGGTTTGGTTAATAGTTCCTACTCTTGTTTTTAATCACAGCAATTCCCACAGTCCAAAAAAAATCCTTAAATACTGCTTCATTTACAAAACACTTTGTGGGATGAACCAAACAAACCAACATCCAATCTCTGACTTATTATTTACTAACGAGTTTTCCAGATATTCCCATGCTCAGTGTCAGGAATTCCCGTTTTAAAAATGCATCTCCATTTTCCAAAATGTCTCTTTTGACCAGGACAAATTCCTGCTGTCTCTCAGCATCCCTCACCAGACCTACACAGTAATATTATGGTATGGACAGGTTGTGGCCAGAAGAGCACTAGGGCAGCTCCTCCAGACTCTGTTGCAGCATCCAACAGGCAGAAATGTTATACAGATAGAAAATTAAATTTCATTGCTTTGCCTATGGAAAACATACTTAACTCAGGATGAAAAGATACTTAACTCAGCCAAAAATATTCATAAAATGGTAAAACTGTCTTTACTTAAGATCTAATTTTTTGGAACTGGATGAATGTGGGCATTGTTTCATTAAGTACAGCTTTAGGGGTAGTTGTCTCCTATAGCATTTGTAGATGAACTCATTCCCCACTGCCAGCAGTGAAAGGGCTTTTGCTCAGATGTAGAAGCTCACAGTACTGAGACCTTTTGCCCAGTATATTCATATATACATTAATCATAATTACTCCACTGGTCAATTCAGTATAAGCTTTGAGAACTTGTAAATAGTTTTTTTAACTGATTGAGAATTTTCTGACTCACAAAACTGTTTAATCTTAATAGAAGTGATACAGAGAACCTGGGTGGCAGAGTGAGCAAATCCCCAGCCCAGGGCACCAGTAGATGGGGATGATGGTTCATCTTCAACAAGGGTTACAACCACAAAATCAGTGATTTGGGGCACAAACACAAAACCAGGCACCCACGACTGCCAAAACTCACATCTAATTCCTTTGGATGATGCCAATGAACAGATCTGGAGCCCACAGGCATTTTTCCTCACACACAGACAAAGACCTCACAAATTTTTGGTATCAAGGATGAAAAGTTACAAAATAGGGAGAGGAAGTTCTAAAGGCGGGTTGTTCTAAGTCAGTTTGGTTATTAAACTATTAAGACTTAATGAAATATTTGGCAGAGAATAATATTTGGTAAAAACTCAAGTTCCTGCCTATGACTTGCCATGGCCAAGATGTCCTTAGTAAAGGAAGAGTGGTTAAAGCCTAGGAGCTCCAGCATCTTTAAGCAAAAAACCAAATGCACAACACTATTAAATAACCCCTTTAAAATTTTGCATGCCTCGAAAACTAAGAAAAAGCAGATGGAGATATTAAATACTTCTGAAACTATTTGCAAATCTTCCTTGAACCAGAAGGAAGGAGCTAAGCTGCTGCTTGGAAGGAGGAGCCCTGGAAAGCCAGCCTTGGCTCCCAGGCCTCCAGTGCAGCTGGGACATTTCCACAAGAGAGAGAGTCCTCTCCACAAAAATACCCCACAACACAAAAAGAACTTGGCTTTAATAAGGAAACAGAGGATAAACCCATCAGCTGGGAGATACTGCAAGTTGTCAGCTAGCTGAGCTCAAGCGAGGCCACACAGTTCAGGATCCCCACCTGAGCACACAAAAAGATTTGTTGGGATTTTGTCCCAGCCCAGCTTTCTTGCTCTCAGTAGGACACACTTAAATTTTTCCACACTTCCCAAAAGAAGGGCACTGTGAGGTAGAGCAGATTCAAGCAGAGCCTGCCAGGAGCAGGACCACCAGACCCCACAGACCCAACACCCTTTGGTCTCCCTTCATGAAACATTTTAACGGGCAGAGAAAAAAAAATACAAAACACACACAGGTTTTGAGAAGAACCCCCCAGCTGAGACCTGCTTGGATTTCAAATGCAGGTTTTGCTTCTTGCTTATTTTGGGGAGTTCTGCCACAAAACCAATACCTGACCCCCCACAGCAGCCCTGCTCCACCTCCACCACACTTCCACCATAAACCATAAAGACCATGGAACCAAAAGGCAAAGATGGAAGGTCCATTTCAAGGGCAAAAGTCCCTAAAATACGAGTAGAGGAAAATCCCAGATAAAATCTGACCAAACCAAAACTCACTTTGAAGCACCATTTGCAAGTTCTTCCTCTTTTTTGCCCTCTCAGCCAATATAGTTTCTGGTTTCGTGACAGGGACACGGCCTGGGGATGTTTGTGATTGCTCAGGCTCAGACAGTAACAGACAAACTTTCCTTAGGCATGTACGGAATGTCATTTTTGTGCTATTCATACTTTATGTCAGCCCAAAAGCTCTCAATTCTTATTTTTTCAACACCCTGCTAAAGAAACTTGTCATAGCCTTTACAGCACAGGACATGCACCTAATCCAGCATAACCTATTGGAGACTTATTGAAAATTTATATATATGATCACAAGCTACTTGTTTTCTACAGGACTATTACCAAATGTACAATTTATTTATTTTATTATTGTATTTACTTTATTCTTTTAGTCAGAGTGATCTCGCCACATACTGCTCACCTCTGCCCCAAAACCAGAATTACTAATTCCTCTTGGGTTTTTCTATAGAATTCAGACTGTGATATGGCTGATCTATGTCATAAAATTTTACTTTAAAACGGGGCTGAGAGGGCATGGAATGGAAATTTTCATCAAAAATAGTTAATGTGCAGTAAAGTTCTTAAGAACTGAAAAACAGGGTGCACATGGTCGGGTGTTTCAGCCGCCTTCGTTGTATTAACAGATATTCTATATTTCCATTTTTAGCTCTGAAAAGCAGAGGAGGCAGAGTCCTGGTGTGTTCACTGACTTTGTACCAGCTTTACAAACCCACTCAGCTCACTGCTGCTCTATGAGAACTGACCCTGCTCGTTTCCTGTGCTTTTCCAACACAGTTTCAGCTCCTTCTCTGAATTTTGTGACGTGTCACCCGTGTGGGAAGAAGTTTTTCAGCCCTCTCAGAAAGCTGTGTGTTAATGTGCCACCTTTAATGTCCTGGTGCAGAGGCAGCAACACGCACACAAACACAAAATCACATTTTCCTCTCTATTATCTGACCTTTCCAGACTGTTCTTCCTTTGGATATGGACTGGGCTTCTCTAGTGATCAACAATTTTTCATAGACTTGTAGAATGGGTTGGGTTGGAAGGGACCTTTAAAGGTCCAACCCCCTGCAATGAACACATCAACTAAATTTTTATAACTTGCTTCTAAGATATAAATGTGTACTTAACTGTCTTTTATTCACAATTTCTGGTGCAATAGCAACTTCAAATGATACAGTTCTTGAGCCACTTACAACCCTATCCAGGTAATAGTAACCAATCCTCAGCTAAAACAGTATCAATTTCCTTGAAGGCAAAGGTATCAAGCCTCAAGCCATCATGGAAACCTTCCAACAATTACATGATTTTTATGTAATTAGTTTTTCTTCACAAGCCAATTATCTAAAAAACAGAGCTTTATTACGAAGACTGAAGGGAGATTCCAGTTTTAAAGTCATTTACACGGACAATTTGTTTTTATTCCTGCCTGGACACTGCATTAATGATCCTTTTCCTTCCTTTATGTTCTCCTCATCCCCGTGCTGCACGCAAGGAGCAGTTTGCACCTCTCAGAAGGGATGGAAGTTTTCTGGCACAGAGCCATGTCATCTTCCCAGCAATGAAGCAGATCTTCAGGAAACGTGGCCTCTTCCCGGTGCCACCACACTGATTTAAGGGGTTTCCTGATGTTCAGCTCAGACGTGTGGAAAAACTTTCAGGAAAATCAGTCATTGTGGCAAAGACCTCCAAATCCACGTTTTCTTGCAAAAAAAAGGGTTGGGGAAAG